GGGCCTGAAGGGTTCGGAGCGAAGAGGGACCAGGCCGCGAGCGGAGGGGGACCCTAGGGCAGGTCCTGGCGGGCCGGCCTCCAGGTGGAGTGGGAAGGAAAGAAAACCCAGATTTTATGAATCCTGATGAAATCAGCCAGAAAGCTGATGACTGAAGGTTGACACTAGGTTGCTGTGAACTACCTCATGTAGCCAGGACAGAAAAATGTGGAAATAAATTCACTTTCCTTTAAGCCAGGTTACTCTTTGAGCTTGAGACTGTCCTTTGCCCAGGTAGTGGCCCAGCGTCTCTTTTGTCTTGAATACTTTAACCCAGCTGCTGTTTATGGAGCACATCTGTATTACTAGACAAACGTCACGGCCACAGCGTGTATTACTAAAATGTAAGCTCCGCAGGGGACAGAGATTTGTGTCTCTCATTCTAGACGATGTCCCCAGGACCTAGAAAATAGTCGGCTTTCAATAATTATTTATCGAATAAACTGTTAGGGCTTGTAATTCATCACATATAGAGGTGGGGGTGAAGGGGAAGCATGGAAGGAGCGTGAACCCCCAGTTTGGTCGACGCTGGCACCATCATTAGCACGAGAACACTAGTGCGGAAGCAGGGTTGGGGGAGAGAGTTTCATTTAAAACCTGCTGCGCTTCAGAGGCCTGTAAAAGATGCAAATCGAGAGGCACAGCAGGCAATTGCATAGAAAGATGCAAAGCTGAGAGAAGCCATTCCACCTGGAGACGCACATTCGTGGTCCACCAGCTCCTGAAATCCATAGTCTTGAAGCCTGAGGGTGGGTGAGCTTGCTGCAGGGGAGGGGCACATGGAGGTACAAGAAAAGGTAGCCCAGAACAAAGCCTTGGGAAGCCAGGGCCTTTTGGGAAGGGTGGGACCAGGGCAAGGCTGCTGACCGGAGTGACTTGTGCTCTGGGTGGTAACCAAGGAAAACAGGGATGCGAGAGGCCATGGACTCAGACCCGGTGGCGTCTGGGAGGCCTTGGGCGTGCTGTTTTGACAGGATTCTGCTGGAGCCGAAAGAGGGGCTCGGTCGTCTGTGGCCATTCCATCTAGCTTGCCACCTCTCTCCATCCCTCTACCGCCCAGAGGGGCTAGACAACCATCATCTCTTGCCCGTCTGGTCACCGTAACGCCCTCACTGTCCCCATGGCTTCCTCTCCACCCCTGGGTCTTCCACCTTGCTGCCGTTCCATCTGTCCACACTGCAGCCAGTGATCAACCCTAAAGGAAAACCTGGTCACACCGTTCTCCGCTTGGAGCCTTTGGTGCCCTCTCTCCCCGCTCTGCCGCTACCTCTGGACAAACTCTAAACTCCATAATGTGTCTTAGGAGGTCCTTTAGGGTCTCAGTGCTCAGCATTCTTTGTTGTAGTCAGGAAAAAACAATTCTTGCCAACTTAAGCAGAAAAGGTACTTTTCTTGGAAAGCTATCTGGTAACTGAGAATTGTCAGAGAGGCCAGGGACCAAGGGCCGGAGAAGCTCAGGGGGAGTAAGGCATGGCCAAAACCGTGCCAGCCTACGGAGATCACCTTCCCAGTTTGCTCAGGACTCTGGGAGTTCCCAGGATGTGGGCTTTCCACCTGTAAAACCAGGAAAATCCCAGGCTTGCCAGGACGAGCTGGTCACCCTGCTTAGCCTGTTGTTGTCGTGGGCACCTGCCATCTTGATACCTCGACCCTTGCCATCCACTGGATACCTGCTATCCTGCCATGGCCGCTTGTTGTCACGCAGCTGAACTCTGTTGTTTGTGGCACCTTCTGCTTTATCACTACGCATGGGATTCCGTCACGGGCACTGTGAACCATCTCCACCATCCTGCCCTTGATGTCCCTCCGGCCTGCATCAGGCTCCCAGCTAGGAGGAGGAGCTGGCTGTGTTTAGGTCAAATGCCATGCTCTGGCCTCCAGGGGGCTCAAAGAGAGGGCGTCCGCTCCCCCAAGCTTCCTCCCACTTTTCTTGGATCCCCCTAAAATGCAAAGGCTGTTCACGTGTTGAGCAGCCAAAAATGGCAGTTGCGCGTAAGCCCCTCGCTCCTCTGCTCTCCTCAGCCGCGCATTATGGAACACGCTTCTGTCAAGCTGCCGGAAGGCACCGTGGCCTGCCTCACCCCGTGGCCTTCGCACACGCGGTTCTCTTTTCCCGAGGCGGCCTCTCCTTCGGTTCTCAGTCTGGCCAGCCCTTTTTCTAGAAGGCGTCCCCGATTCTTGCTGTCCCAGTTTATCAGGGCTGCGGTAACAAAATACCACAGATGATGTGGCTTAAGCAGCACAGATTTATTTCCCACAGTCCTGGAGGCGGGAATTGAGATGCGGGAGCTGGCGGGCTCCCCTTGGCCTGCAGGTGGCGCCCTTCTTGCTGCCCTTTCACTCGAAACTCCCTCTGCACGAGGCGGCCCTGCTGTCTGTCTCTCTGTGCCTTCATCTTCTCTTCTCGTAAGGACGCCAGGCAGACGAGGTTAAAGCCCGCCCTAATGGCCTCATTCCAACCTCATCACCTCTTTGAAGGCCCACCTGCAAATACAGTCACATTCGGGGGCGTCACGGGTTAGGGCCTCAGCGTGTGGATCCGGGGGGACGTGATTCAGCCCATAGCAGCTGGCTCCTGTTAGTTAGGTCCTGTGTGTTCCTGCAGCATGTCAATCTGCTGTCGCCGTCGCAGGGTTTATAGTTGGTATCTGTTCACCCAAATGGACCGACCGCACCGTGCTGCTTGCCACTGGGTCACCACCCCAGTATGGCGAAACCTGGCTTCCCTCATAAGGGATTTATCAGGCACTGTGAAGACCTGCCACCCCCTCTGCCCAGAAAATTACTGCGGAATGCAGTGACTGCCTGTCGAATATTTAAAATGATCAAGACTTTTATTTAACACTAAAAAGTTAAAAGCAAATGAGCCTGAAAATGCTGAGTAAAAAAAAAAAAAATTTTCCTTGTCATTTGAATAACAGAGACCATTTGGCGGGGGGCGGCTAATGACACAACTGGTAAAACTTACAATCCTCTTGTGCTTTTGAGGGCGATTGC